GTAGGCCACATTAGGAATTTTTACCTAATGAGTTTCACTAATGATTACCATAATAATTACAAAATTATATGGACAATTTATTTGAACGCAGAATGAGGCTTTTCCAGGGTAATGGCAAAGATAAAAACAGAAAAAAAGCTGTACAATTTTGTCAAACCCCAAACCTAATAATCAAATGATTTCTTTCAAGTCGCGAAAAAATATATATCCATGTTGACCTAAAACTTTTTTTTATTCACCTACAGAACTGGAAAAAAAACTAAAGTTTCGATTAATGTTCTATCAACACTTCATGGAGTGTTCTACACAAACTGTAATCTGAGGGCCGACGCCATCGTGTATAGTTTTGAGCAAAAAAAAGGCCCAAACAAAATCATCAATTCCAAATTCAAACTTTAGTCGGGCCTGGAGTTTTAATTTCTCAAAAATTATTTCAAAAAACATGATCGTCCACTAAAACGAAACATACATAATCGAATTGGGACTAGACCAGACATTGTCGAAAACAAGTTCGTAAATTAAGCAAAAGTAATTCAGGACTTCAAATTAACTTTGACCATGATTTAAAACACTATAAATTATTCATCAGCAAATACCGGCGTTCATCATGTAGACATTAACTGTCGAGGTCAACGATCAACCAAACGGCCATTGCACATATCGCAAACCCAGCAAAACTCACTCACTGATAAAATATGAAAGAGTCAACTTATCGTACCTTGATATTCTGGTCAAAGCCAATGCCAGACCCGCCAATTGACTAGGAGACGGGGCTTCGACAGTTTTTTCTACCATCCAAACTCCGATAAAATTGCAATCCAAATCTAATCATAACAGTGCCAGGAACAGTGCATGACAATATATCCCAAAGCCGGCCATCGTGTATAATTTGAGCAAAATAGGTGCAAAAGAAAAGTCTAAACAACATAATGAATTCCAAATTTAAACTTTTCTCGAGCCTGGAGTTTTAATTTCTGAAAAAAATATTTGACGAAACATGAATATTGACAAGACAAAACATGCATATCCGAAATGGGAGCCCAGCCATTGTCGAAAAAAAATCGTCAAGTAAGCAAAAGTAATTCAGGAATCCAACTTAACTTTGACCGTGTGCTACAACAATTTAAATTAATCATCAGCAAGTTGTATTGGCTTTCGTCAAGTAGCCATTAAGTTTCAAGAAGTACTTCGGCAGTTTTTTCTACCATCCATACTCCAATAAAATTGCACTCCAAATTTATTCAAGACAGCACCAAGAACAATGTATGACAATATACCCCAAAGCCAGATAGTTTGCCTACAGGCAAGGAATCAATAGATAAAACCACTTGCCGCGTAGCAAAAGACACCGATGCATCGCAAAAAGTAAAAGAGGAGCAAAAAGACGGCGTTTCCAAGAACCAAAAATCAGCACAAAAGTGTACTACGTTGAGGCCGAGAGTAGTTTTAATTCCCGTCTGTTAATTCTCTTTCGGGACCAAAAAGAAAAAGTGATTTCTGTCAAATTGTGCTGACATGAACAACAGCGCGTCTAATTCCAGGACTTCCACGAAGCATGTCAGTTATTGTTTAAAAAAGAAAACTATTATAAAATGGAACTGATGCATTTGTATCACTCAATACTAGACGAAATTGGAGCTCGAGTTTTTTTTTAAGTTTACAGGACAATGAGCAAAGTCTGGTAGGCCAGATCCCCATAAGAAGGTGCTAGTCCGGGTGAGACGCTGAAGTCAGCAGTGTTGCAGGAAAAATCACGCCACGATAAGTGCGCTTTATCAGTGCAGTCAGTATGTCTGTCTTCTCAAACCGCTCAAATCTTGCTGGAAAACCGCTCAAACCGTTGAAATCTTGAGCGGTTTTTGAGCGGGATCTCGACCCGGGAAACAAACTTGCATGCTCAGTCCGCATCAAAAAAAAACATTGAAGGATGTCAATTCAGTCAAAAAAGTGCGCAATTGAGGATGAAAAGAAAATGTTCTACGATAAAACCCAAATTGGGAGAAAACAATGAAATCCACCATCAAAAACTGTTTTCTGGGGGAAAAATATCCAGCGGAACATATAAAAACGTGCCTAGCAAACAGTTCCCTTGAGCATTTTCAAGAAATAGGGCCATTTCGCGAAGTGCTGCAACTCGAAAGAACAGCTCGCAAACATTAACTCCGAGCAGGAAGAGCCAGAGGAGGGCGATTTCACCCGGAAGTGTTTATTCAGGGCTACAGTTGACTCAGTTAGCCCACCCAGCTTTTTAGTAAGCCTCAAAACAGCCGTTTTTTAATGATCGGCATCAATCCTCAGTGTACACCAAGAACCAGTGAGTCAAACTACAATAACAGGTCTGAAAATCCTAACTGTACTCTTGTGGTAGACATCAAGTCCAGCGGATGGACACTCCAAAGAGCAAAGTTCCTTCTATCAGAAAATTGAACCCGATGTCTATTAGTTCTAGACCTCCATCAAAATCTAGGTATCAGAACCTACTAAACCGGACATCAAGGAACAGAAAAACCTTTTCACATACAGGTAGAGTGCGAGAGGAGATTCTAAAACTGATAAACAATAACATGCCGTAAAGCTGGACATGTTTTAAAGGAAAGATGATAACAGCGAAAAAAGCAGGCACCGTGGAACTAACCATGAGCTCACAGCAAACGAATGCTCAGATATCAAAAACAAGTATCAGATGCTCAATTCGCTTGAATTGTTAGATTCAGGCTCTCAGATTTCATCTCCGAAACTCCGAGAAAAATTTGGTTCAGGTCTTTAAATTCTAGAAAAAGCATTTAATCAAGTGCCTCTGATTAATCTAAACGGTAATTTTTGCAATCTCCATATCCTAGAGTTCACTGTGATCTAGAGATGTAAGATCTCACAGACAGGCCGATAGTGTTTAAGAGGGCCATGGACAATACTTTGCAAGGATTGCCATGAGTGTTTTGCTTTCTTGATGATATTATGATTGTCTCAAAAGGACCAAAGTTGGACCACAGCGCCGTAGCTGGAAGTTGAAAGTTCCAAAATTGACGTGGCCGGGTTAAAATTTTGACGAAAAAGGCTGTATTCAAAAAAACTCGAAGATTGAAGCCGTAATCAGACTGAAACCATCAGTGAGGTTTTCAAGTGGACTCTAACTGAGAAGAGTTTTAAATGATTGGTTATAAATAAATAGGTTACAATCTCATTCAGTGCTAAAGATACAAACAGTGAAGAAATAAATATAAATCATATCCACAATTGGGTCGCAATATATAGATTTAAATAATTTAAACATTTAAATAATTTAAACATAAAAAATATAGACCATTTTTTCTATTTGTTTGGTGGTGAAAACATTTGAATTGCTAAATTGACTTGAAACATAGCATGCTTGGGCCAAATAAAATCGAACTTGTTGGCAGTGCGGTCAAATTTCTTAACGGTGAAAAAGTAGACAAATGCAAGTATTGAATCATAAGAATGAAGCTAGAAAAACAAACTCACGCAAGAATGAAAATGAAATGTTTATTTCGCTCATTTGTTTGATTATGATTTTGATTCTGTTTGAGTATGTACAAGACTGCTCGTATGAGGGCAAAAGCTTGAATATTCCGACTGCCATTTAAAAAGGTTGTATTTTTGATAATTTTTGATAATTTAAGTATTGGCAAAACTATGAGTTATTAAATTTTAAGTATTAGAATTTGAGTCGTGTGTAGAATTAAAAAAATCATTTAGCTGTATCAATTCATTTGGAAGAATTTTGTAGAGTGGGATAGTTCGCCGCGCGTTTGAATTATACAAAGAGTAGTTTCGTCAAACGCGTAGCAGGATACTATAGTGGTGTGCACACCTGACTGAGCCTCTACAGGAAAAAGGGTGTGCACACCTGACTGAACCCTGAGGGATCAGATATTTGTAAAATTGGTCTGAGTAGAAAAACTGTCCGAGAATGTATATTCCTCACTTTCTCTGAAAGTAGGGACAACAAGCTATCCGAAG